GTTTAGTCATTAGTTTTCTGTGTATTTAAACCCTGTCCTGTCTCAGTCTTATTGTCGGATCATTGTTGTGTTCTGTTCCCCCTGCCTGTGTGATCCTTGAGAGTCCCTAAAAGTTTGAGCTGTCTCTACAGCAGTTTTTCTGTTATTTAATAAATATTTCGTTGTATTCTTGGAGCCTGCCTGCACCCTGGATCCATTCCTCCACCAATCCTGATACCAGGATGATGAAGATGAAACGTGGCTGGACATTTCAGCAAGACAATGAGCCCAAAGAGACATTCTTGATAAAAATCTGCTTCCATCTACCAGGATGATGAAGATGAAACATGGCTGGACATTTCAGCAAGACAATGAGCCCAAACACAAAGCCAAGGAAACTCAGTTGGTTTCAGAGAAAGAAAATAAAGCTGCTGGAATGGCCCAGCCAATCACCTGACTTGAATCTATTATGGACTAATTATCTATCTGTTTCACCTTGACGCTGTCCAGTACTCATATATCTTATGATCAATGTCAATCTGTTTGCCCAGACGTCAGGACTCCCCAATGGACTGAACTCTCTTGTCTAAGTAGGTAACTCTTTGGGCTATGAGCCCTGTTATTGGCTGGGCAGTTGCAGTTGGCGATCTGTGATTGGTTATAARCACGTCATATGATGTTATCATGGTGTACATTATTGGCTGCTTTCTGCTGACGCGTCAGTCACAACTCAGCCAATTTCCTGATTGACTGACAGCTGGGTTGTTGCTCAGAATTAAAATCATTTTGACGACCATACACGCAGACTTTCTGTGCATTATTCCAACGTGTTTCAGCATTCTTGGTAAATCATTTCCACGACAGAATTTGGCGTTGTCTTAAAGGCGGCTCCCAAGGACCGGAGGATTGCCCGCAGCGGTCGACTGTTTTTTTCCTTGGAGATCCAGTGGGGAATGGAGGAAGTTTTTTTTCTCTTCTGACAAAACTGACCTGTTTTACTCTGCTGATCTTGTCCGGATTTTGTGATCTGTCCTTACTTCGGCCGCTGTGGGTAATCTTTTGGGACTGGAGCTAAAAAAAAGAACCTGTCTGTGGCAGAAACAYGGTGAGCTAATATTTTCATTAGCGCCTTATGCTAAAGAGCTACGGCTAATTTTTTTGGCCCACACACATTGAAGTTATAATTGTCAGACGCTGGTCTGGTTTTCTGTGGTTGTATTGACCCTAGCCGAGGTAGATGTGGGAGTGATTCATTCCATGTCGAGTCAAAAACGGGGAGCTTAGCTTTCTGTTTTAATGTAGCCAAGAGGACAGTGTTCGTCTTAGGTGAGTGTAGGTAGTTTGAAATGCTTAAACTACTGAGGAAAAATGTAATTTTTAGGGGTGTCCCGATACCAGTTTTTTCAAGACTGAGTACAAATACGAGTACTTCAGTTTGGGTACTCGCCGATACCGATACCAGTATCGGTATCGGATCCGATACC